AGAGCGTGCAGGATCCCCCCTGGCTGGTGGCCACTTCTGCTGCAGACAGCTGCCAGAGACTTTTGGCACAGAAGAGTGAAAGTACCACTTTCCATTTTCTTTGCTATTTCTCCCTCTTTTTTCTTTCTACATTATTTTGTTAGTACAGTTGGGTTTCCCCCCCCCTCTTTTCCTTCATAGAAACCACCCAAACCAGATTGTTTATTGGAACTGCTGGTTCATTATTGGTCCATTTCTACTGTATTCCTTGATTGGAATTTTACTTCTCATGCATTTTCTCTGGCAATGCCTACAGCATACCCTTCCCCTCCACTTTCACTGCTGCTGAGGGTGCAGCCACAGTGCTGAGGAATGACTTGCTTATGACCAAAGTTATCTGGTCTTCCAGCTAATCACCCAGATATATGGTGGATCCTCCTTTTAACCTGCTGCCACCTAGACTACATTTCACATGATACACATTCACCACATCTAGCCTTCAAATTTCTTTCTCACAACTGTGCTTGGCACACATCTCTCTACTGGTGACAAACACAAAAACTGTCATTCTTTGTGGCAGACTCGGTTGTACTAGCATTTCCCCATTAGGCTCAGGCAAACAGATAGAGCTGCTCATGCCATGGCCCTCCTGTTCTCTATTTATGGTCCTTCAGTCCTCAAACATGCTTAAATTTTCTAAGTTTCCAAGTGCCCAGTGTTGTTACCTGCTACAGAGAGTAACAAGGCGCTACTCAGTCCCGGTTACACTTGCTTTAGTGCTGGAACAGCATGTCTGTGGCTCGGTATCAACTAAACAGTCATTATTCCCAAGTACCTGAGATGTACTTATTTAGAACTACTCGAGTCTCTGGACATAGGGCAAGAGCTGAGCTTTTTAAAAGGTAGCTCTGTGTAACAGAAAAGCATTTCCCACCCCTCATACCCCAATGAAATTAGGCAAGCGCTGAGTGCAACAGAGCAGCTGCTTGACAGCCTTATTAGAAAACAGCTTAGAGAAGTATGTGAAAAATACTGTATTCAGCTGAAGCTGCAGGGAGCAACAGAAGAAGAATAATTAGCCAAGTCAGAAATTGGCTAAGGCAATGGGTCTTCTGAGCCTTCTATTTCCTTCAAAATACAAAGGGATCTTTAAATACCAAGTAGTAAACGAGACTTTGTTTATATCTCACCTTAAAAAGGCACAAGCAGAACCATGCCCCCTAATAACATCTTTGGCTCAGAAATGATTCAGAAGCAAGGGGGCCATCTGCTGAATTCCTAGGACCATTTTCTGCTGTATCCTGGAAGATTTTCTTTGAAAGTTTCACTGCCGAGTCCTTTTCAGTGTCAGCTTTGCTAGGCCTGGGAGGTGTGGCAGCAAACCTCCGAGCAGATTTGGCTGCAGGTGAACATAACAGCACATCTATCATGACTGCAAAAACTGAAACCAGTACACTGATCAATGTAATCTATTCAGGACTCAAAAATCCTGTAGACAATATCATCAGTCTGAAGTATATGCATTATCTCTGTATCATAATGCATTTCATTAAATAGAAACTTTGAGAGGCAGAAAACTTGGTCATAATATGTTCATGAACATAACTTTTCGGATAAAATATAAAATCTTAAAGCACAGAATCAGGTCTCTAAAATAATCAGCTTCCTTCTTCTGCTTACTGTCCATTATCCTCAGTAATGTTGGCACCATGCTCAAACTCAGCATTCCTTTACCCATGCAAGTCACAACTCCATTGATACATGATTCACTAGCGATGACTTCTAATTCCACTCTTTCTGAATTCATTACCACTAACTTCAGACCCCAGTTTCAGCACAACCGTTGCTATCCCTTTACCAACATGTGAAAGCGGGCAATGGAAAGGTAGAAGTTTTATAAGATTTTATGACAGTCACCACACATTCACATGCACAGACAAAGTGCATTACCTTTACAGTCCTCCATATCTTGTTCTTTTTACTACTGCCACAGCTAAAGGTCTCTCTGCATACCAGGAAGAAGGACCAGAATTGTTTCTGACACAATAACAACAAAGTATGCTAACTAAATACTACAGAAACATCCAGACTGAAAAATCCTTGTTCATATAGCCATGAAATTTGATAAAGGTATTTAAAATATTCACCACTGTTCTCATTTCTTAAAGCATAGCCTTAAGTCTACTGACATTTCATGGTCTGTTAATACACAACACTTTAAATATAGAAAGGTACATGTTATCCATTAAAGACTATAGAGACTCATGCATAAGACAGATCATAGTGTACAAATATAAGACTATTTAATGGTAAAAACTATAAAATCAAATCTTCAAGGGTGCTTCCAAGTTCAGCATTTTAAAAATGACAGCAAGACATAACCTGTATCTTTCAAAGTTGTAATCAGGAGGTATTAAATAAAAGCACAAGCACAGCACAGGGAATACAAATAAATGCCACTTGCTTAAAACTTCCTCCTTCGGTATAAGAAGTTGTCCCAAGTTTAACTCATAGCTTATTGAACATGCAAAGAGTTGGAGGGTTTGTTTGCATCATGTGGGGGTTTTTTCATGCTTAAAATAATTTTACTACCACAGTCAGTATGAAATCTCAATATCCAGGACTCCTGCATCCCTAATGCAAAAATGTAACCAGGTGGTGTTGTTTGCTGTTCGCTGTTCCCAGCTTCATGCACACTGATGAGCAAGAAGGATATGGTCTGGAAAGCTGTAAATTCCTAGGCACATGCAGATTATGCTAGAGAATCACTGTTTTCAATACTTAATAGTAAACTATTATTTACTTTGCCAACTAAGCATCCCTTATTTTTCTCCTAAAATCTGTACTTCCATATGAAAACAGCAGATAAGAAACACTAGTAAATGCTAAATATAAAGCACATAGAAGAGTTCTAGAACTACAATTACCCAGAATTAATAAAACATTATCATGTGCCTTTATTCCCATGAGCAAATGTGGTGAAAGTTTCCCCTCAAGAATTAAGAATGAAAGCTAAGGATTGCTCAAATTCAGCCCCTTCTATAGAAGTAGTCCCCAACTATGTAAAGCATCCCAACTCCTGGTCACGTGAATCTCAAAACCAAGAGATTCTATATCTATCTTAGCAAAAAGTAATACAAAGTGCTCTTGCTACTTGTTTCAAACTCACGAAAGCTCACATAAAAGAAAATTTATATGTAGTGAAAGAGACCTGAGGTTATTTTCAACTTTGTAATTTTTTTCCCTTTTCCACTAAAAGCCCTAGATAGTTGGCTTCAGGCAAAGATGCCTCAATTTAAAGCAAAATCTTTGGGGAAAAAAAAAAAAAAAAAGGCAAAACACACCTTTAAGCAATAAGAAACATCAATACAATTATTTGTTGGTCTTTTTCTCAGATATTTGCATTTAAACAAAATTTACTCCCAGCTGGTGGCAGAAGTATATTAAAAATTATGATTTGTTAATGGAGTCGGACAATTACATTTATTTCATTAAGTATTTAGACTGAAAGGAGTGGTGTGCATACTCACTAAGTAGCTAGAAAGAAAGGGAAATAAGTTGGAAAGTGAAGTATTTGGAATATAACACTATTTGGAGGGCAGTATCATCTGATACTCCTTGACTTGAACATCACTTGTTGAAGTTCTACTAAATACGAAGTACTTACAATGAAGCTTCTTCCCACTTTATAGAGATAAAAAGACCTCACAGATCTAATTTATCCCTATGATCCCCTGCTACCCAAAAAGCCCTGCCACTCACACAAATCCAGGACAGACAGCAGTCTCAGTTACTGTCTCCTGCATTTCGGGAGGTTCCACACACAAGGGTGGATCATCTCCACGGGTCAGAGAACACAAACACAGCTCAGCCACCGTCTGACTGACAATACCTACCTAGGGCACAGGTGTGTTCTACTGCGCACGGTGGGTACAGCGGCGCAAGGGGAGAACCTGCAGGGGCTGTATCAGAGTGCTGGCGTAGGACACCGAAGGGATTTTGGAAGTATAATGAAATATCTGTCACTTCCCGTCACTGAAAGTCAATAAACCTAAATCACAAGCCGTTTCCAAAAGGTTTTGGGAGTGCAGGTGTGCTATGGGGCAGCACTGCCGAAGCCGGAGGGAGACCCATCAGAATGGGGGGGGGGGGGGGGTGTCAAGGCGCCTCCTCAAGTCCAGTACGGAGGGTGGCCGGTCCGTACCCCTCCGTAGTTCACAGATTGAGATCCTGCACACTGCCAGGGAAAGTTCAGTCGCGTTACCGAAACGTTTTACAGTACTGCTACCACCACCGGCAGGCGGGGGAGAGGCTGCAACGCCGCAGCCCTTCGCCCGGCGGCCCCCCCCCCGGCCCCCCGCCCGCAGCCCGACACCTGTTCGCCCCTACAAAACGCCTTTAGCGACTCACAGAGACCGTCTACGGTATCTCGACGGGTCTCTGGTTCCCGCAGAACCTCCCCAAAGTTCACGCGTGTTCAGCCTAGATGTCGGTCTCGACAGGTAGTTCACAACACGCCGCAGCCAAACGCGCAAGTTCTCTTTTGTGTAGCCGAAAAGAGAAGGTCGATCGCTCCCCCTCCTCCGCAGCGTCAAAACCTTGAACAAGGTACTAAATCGCGACACCTGGAGCCGACACCGCGCCTTCCCCTCCAGCAGCCTCCAACTTCCCTGCCGAGCGTCAGAAATTAACCTTTCCGCCGGCATGAGCCCGAGACGCGGTCCACGGAGAACCGCAACCGAGGGGCAACCCCTCTGCCCCACCACAGAGGGCCGGCATCGCCTCCCCAGCCCTATCCCTTCGGCCCCACGCAGCTGAGAAACTTTTCCGAGCCGCCCGGCGACGCAGCGCCCACGCCGGCCGCCCCGCGGAGCGGAACCGAGCCGGCGCCCACGCACCGTGCGCCCGGCGGGCCAACGCCGCCCCCCGCGGGCCGCGCCGCGCCGGCAGCCCCGCTGCGTGGGCAACCCACGGCCCCGCGCCCACCCACCCACCCACCCTCCCGCCCGCACCGCTCCTACCGTGCGGGGAGCAAGTGAGGGAGGGAGCGAGGAGGTGGCAGTTACCGGCGAGCGAGCGCCCTTCTTGCAGAGCGGTCCCCTGAAGACGCCTTTGATGCCGCGGTAGTGCCCGTTGCTGAGGTGCCGGGAGCTGATGACCAGGTAGCACGCCATGCGGGCCCCCCGGGCGGGCGGGCGGGCGAGGGGAGCGCCCCAGCCCCGCGGGCGGCGGCGGGGAAGGCAGGCCGGCTCGGCGGCGGCAGCGGCGGTGCTACCCCCGCCGGAGCAGAAGCCCGCATGAAGGAGCGGGCGGAACCGCGGCAGCGATCTCCCCCCTCCCGTCTCATCCAGCGCCCGGGTGAGCGCTGCCAGCAGCAGGATGCACTGAAGGCGGCAGCAGCCAGAGCACAGCCGAGGGAGCGCGGAGGCCAGTCCGCATGCTGCTCCGGGGGTAGGAGACGGCCCGGGAAGAAGAAGGGCAGAGCGCAACTTGCACAGTCCGCCGCGACTACGGCCACTTCCCTCCCTCCCTCCTCCTCCTCAGACCAGGCCACCGGCAGCCGACATCCGGAGGGGAGTTTCTCCGCGGCAGCTCGACCGCCGGCTGCTCCCCATGGCTCTTCCCTCCGCCGGGCCGGGTTGGGCTGGGTGCTGGATGCAGCCGGCCGCCGCGGAGAGCCCTCGCCGCCCCCGTCCTCCCGTGCCGCCGCTGCAGTCGGCGCCGCGCCTCGCCTCACCTCCGCCGGGGGGGGGGGGGGTGGGTGGGGGGAAGGCGGTGCGTGGGGCGAGGGGGGCGGAGGAGGGGTAAGGCCGGAGCGGGGGCGGCAGCTGGCCGGGATGGGGTGAATGTTGTCCCTCGCCGCTGCAGGGAGGGGAGTGGGCCGCGGCCGGGGGCAGGGAGGATGGCGGCGGGGCGCGCTGGACGCCCTTCTCCTCTTCGCCCAACTTTCCCGCCTTCGGTGGCGGGGAGGTAACGTCCCTTCCCCGCCTGCCTCTGGCTGCGCTTCCGCTTCTCCCCCACATCCCATCACCTATCCTTCTCCCCCCCCCCGCGCTGTCCCGCCGGCGGCCCCCCGGCAGGGTCTGCGGCCGCTGCCCACTCTCCGGGCTGCGGGGCGGGGGACACCCTCCCGCGGCCGTCAGCCGGCACTGACCCCCCGCAGCGCCGGGCTAAGGGGAGACATCGCTGCTCCGGTTCCCGCTGCCGGCTGGAAGCGCAGATTCGGCCGGGAGCGCGGCGAGGGCTGCGAGCAGCTGCCCGGGGCGCCCGCACCACCACCACCACCCACCCCCCCAGCCGCGACCGGGCTCGTCTTGATCGTTCCCTGGCGAAAGTTCGTGAATTTCGGTGTGTGGCGGGTGTCATTTGCGACCTAAATGATTTACATAGAATCGCAGGTATGAAATTCTTCCATCCCTAAATAGCTGAAACAGGTTGTTCTTTTCCCCTTCTGCAAGAGACAGGCGCGATGTACCGCGAACCCGCCTGGGCACACTCAGCTTCTTATCATCAGGTCACAAGTATTGTCTCTGCTCTGCTACTTACTAAATCGATAAAAATAAATCAATAAATCACATGGCCATGGTAGTCACCTGAAGATCATTAATTTATTCGAAGTAGATTACTTTAGATAAGAATTATTTCAGATTTTTTCATTTAATCCAGTAAAAGCCTGTTTTCAGGTATTTAGTGAATGCAACTGATAAGTGAAGCTCATTCTAATTTTAGCCTCTCAAGAGCTATCTTCCTATGAACCTAATGTAAATAGAGAATCTCACACAGGCCACAGAACTGTATAGATAAAAATGTCATGACAAATATCATTTTTTCGGCTGTATATATAAAATAGCGTTGTACAGTCTTAGTATACAATGTTTCACGTACAATATAAAATTTGATTATATGTGTGTGTACAGCTATACAAATCGTCAAACCTACTGTTATGTATTTCATTAATAAATATATAAAGTTATAAAGAAAACAAAATGCATCTCAAAATAACCAAAGCTGAAAGTAACATACTAAAAACATTCTTATCTTAACCCTAATACAGTGTTTTGCAGTGTAAAAACTGTGGGGTAGGAGTCAAACTAAGCTGGTAAAACCCAGGTACAAACTAAATAAAAGGACTTGGCTTTTTGCATCATGTGGTGGATCTGTGGGACTCCTTGCCAAAGGGTGTTGTGGTTCACAGATTGAAACAGTCCCATGAATCAGTACAGATCAGGCAGTGGGGCCTGGGAGCAATACAGTGCCCACAAGAGACCTGTGGAGGACTTTTCTGAAGAATTTACATTGGAGAGTGGCTTTAGAGGGATTACCATACTGTAAAAGATTATCCACTGTTAATTTGATGGCCAAAATGAGCTTTTATGATGATTTCCTCCTACAAGTCACAGTTGTGTGAATGACTTGAAATTTATTCTTGTCAGCATATAATTTATATGTGTTGTTAACTACAGGTTCTTTCTGAAATAACTCCTGTGCAATCCTCTTAAAGATAAAAGTATTAAATTCACTTTGAATTTTGGTCTGCTGCTTGACTTTCAGACTGCACTGAATATGCAGCTCTGGAAGTGAAGACAAGCACCTTTTTTCTCTGGAAATGCAATGAACTTTTCAAAACTTTGCTTCCCTGTGATGCAGCTGTTGTTTCTCAGAACAGAAAGAGAATTTACATCTCACTCCAACGACTTGCATAGAGGTCTTCATTCCTTTTCTGTTGTGGCAACATACGGAAAATCCTTTGCTCTGTGAAGCTGATGACCTATTACAAGGTGAGGGAGAGGGTACAGAAGACTTATGCCACATGCATAAAATGGAGATGTGTGTTCCTGTGCTGCAGCTATGTGGACTGACTGGACAGTCTGTGTCACCTGCAGAGGACCTTCAGCACAAGCTGAAACTGTGTAAGAGCTTCACTGTAGACTGAGGGACAGTACTTTCCTCCTTAAATTTACAGTCTTCCACAGTTCATTTACTAAGATTGTATGAAAGGGAAATTATTTGCCCCAGAGTAGACTGCACAGTACTCATTTTATCCTGCTGAGAAGGATGATGTGCTCAATTGACCCTGCTGTGAAAAGTAGAAGTCATTTTAGGCTCACTTCACTTTGCAAACTCGGGGGAATAGTAACTATGACCACCAATCTAATTTATAAACAATCTGTAGGGCGCAAGCCTGAGAAAATGAGATTAAGAGTTGTCAAATGGAACGATCAGATATTAATTATAACCCTCACTGAAAATTCCCCCAAGTCTCTGGAGGTGCTGCACCTTTTTCCCTTTCATAGCCAGTCATGTAGAAATATGAGCCTTAACTATTAGTAGTTTCATCTGGATCCAATCCTTCACTACCTTAGATCTCATAAAGTAATCTTTAGCTGAGCCCAGTGTAGTAAAATACAACTTTTTAGAGCATTATGCTTTCTTTGCAGAAGTATTAGTGACTTTCCAAGATGCAAGGAAATGGAGAAGCAGGTCAGCTGTCACTAAAATATGATTAGAAAAATGAAATGCTTTTCAGTTCATCTATCCTCTCAATTTACATAGTTTTTTATCATTAATAAAGATTACTTGGTGCTTATTCCCCCCCCCCAAAAAAAGTCTGTAAACATTTTTTAATTATTCTTTGTAGAGATAGTCCTCATTGCACAATGTAGTGTCAAATTGAAATACCCAGCCTAGCTCTAAAGTCACTAGTTCTGACATAAATATAATCTGAAAATCAGGCAGCAGAGAACCAAGTTAATGCAGTCCTATTACTATTAATGGTTGAGCTAATTCGTATGCTTCTTTGCAGCATTAGAGAGTACAGTATAGACATACCCTTAAAACCTTGTCTACAGTGTGAATTTTATTTAAATTGTAATTCAAGTATTGTTCCTAACATGACCATTCCTCAGTGTGGATACAGGCTAGATCCTCTCAAGGGACCCAGTCCTAAAATGTTTTCCACAATCCCCTTACTGTGCTCAGAAAGAACAAAGACCGCCTTCCACATGCCTCCAGACATGAAAAAATTCAGGCAGTGCAAAGAATCTTCTGGCACTGAACCTCTAGAAATATTACTTTAGCAATCAAACAAGAACAGAGGGTGTGTAGACACACATCTTGAATAGTTTCACAGTCTGGTTATTCTCACTTGAGCTAGTTTAACATGAGATGTTTTCCAATGCAGAAGAACCCAAGTGAACCCGACAGTATGAACATACCCTAATATTGATGTGATTTTTACAAGTGGTCTTCCTCATGACAGTGAGCGAGATCAACATCCCAGCAAGACAATTCAGGTATAAAAGCATACAATGAGGTTCCTAACATATAACAGAAATGTCTTGGTGTAGCTTTACAGTATATGTTATCTTCAGACATAAAGAAGATTTCAAAGCTGTAAATCAACTCCTGGCAATATATGCAGATCTTTTTATTTTAACTGCATGAACTACATATTCATCCACCCTCAGTTCCTCTAATCCATCCACCCAACCTCTAACTTCTCAGTCCATCCTAGTGGTCCATAACTACAGCTAATTCCTCAGGTTCACAATTAAAAGTGAACTCCTGCCCCACTGGAACCAGTGACAGTTTTTCTAGAAACATTCACCTGTTAAGTATGTTCATCTATGGCAACAAACTCTTACAGAAACCTGGAACATATTATTACAACATTAGTTGTCCTATTTGTCGTGGTTTGTGCTCAGAGAGCAACTGAGCACCACACAGTCACTCACTCCTCCCTTCTCTCCCAGCGATGAGAAGGGAAAAATAAGCCAGGCTCAAGATAGGACCGGGAAGGGCAAATCACCCATTATGATCAAGGGCAAAAGGCAGACTTGTTAGGGGAAGGAAAAAACCCCACAGATTTATTACAAACACTAACAACACTTAACAGAGTAGGACAGTGAGAAGCATTACCACATTGTGAGAACACCTTCCTCCCACCCCTCCCTTCTTCCTGGGCTCAGCTTTGCTCCCAATATCTCTACCTCTTCCCCTCAGCAGCAGTGGGCAGGGAATGGGGGGGTGCAGTCAGTGATGCCGCTTCTTCCATCTTCAGTGCGGGGACCTTCTGGAACAACTTCCCCCTGCTCCAGTGTGGTACCCCTCTCACAGGAGACAGTTCTCCACAAACCCTCTCCTACATGAGCCCCTCCCACAGGCCGCAGCATTTGTCTCGCTGCTCTGGTGTGGGACATCAGCTTTCTCCAACTGGTGTTCCTCCCATGGACTGAAGCCCTTCCCGAGCTGCTCTGGCTTGGGACACCACCGCATGCTACAATCCTCCCAACACTGAACTACAACAGCAGAGGCTACTCTTTCCCACAAGATCCCAGCCTTCTTTGGACACAACCACCTTGGTCAGCTATGCGAAACCCCTCACAGGCCGTAAATCAGTGTCTGCTCCACCGTAGATGACATCTCACCACAGGTTACAGGGGGGTCTCTGCTCCGGCACACCTCCCCCCTCCTTTCTTCCTCCATTCCTCCACTGACCTTGGTGTCCACACAGCTGCTGTAACTCCTCCTCACAAGTCCAACTCCTCCTCACCACGTCCCTTCTTAAATACATTATCGCAGAGACGCAGCTGGTTGGCTCAGTTGCAGAGGTGGGGCTGACTTGGATCTGGGGAAGCTTTGAGAAGTTTCTCACATGGGGCCACCACTGTAGCCCCCTCCTCTGCTACCAAAAAAAAAAAAAAACACCACTCACTCAAACCCAGGACACTATTATTCTACC